TCTATTCACAGTAGTGTTCTCTATTCACACTGGTGTTCTCTATTCATACTGGTGTTCTCTATTTATACTGGTGTTCTCTATTCATACTGGTGTTCTCTATTCATACTGGTGTTCTCTATTTATACTGGTGTTCTCTATTCATACTAGTGTTCTCTATTCATACTGGTGTTCTCTGTTCATGCTAGTGTTTTCTATTCATACTAGTGTTCTCTATTCATACTGGTGTTCTCTGTTCATGCTAGTGTTCTCTATTCATGCTAGTGTTTTCTATTCATCTGTCTGCCTGCCTCACTCACTCACTCTGTCTCTCTCTCTCCTCTCTGTGTCTCTCTCTACCATACAGTTATTCAGGTCTTAGATATTTTTAGAGGACTGAAGAGTATGAATCTAAAATGCAGAAAAGAGAGTAGCGCTAGCTATCTCAATTGAACCTGAATGACACTACCGGTAACATTGGCGTGTGTATATATTGCGATTTCTTCGGGCAGTAGAAGCTGCACTGTCAAAATTTTTTTAGGAACTTTCTAGTTATACATGAGCTTTAACAAAAGTCATTTTCTCCTTGTGTGGCCGCTGCAGTTTGATTGTTAATTAAGACTAGATATCTCTAATCTCTACTACCCCCCCGGTGAACTGGGGCCATTCCCAGTTCACCCTCACTATACGTTTGGGCTTGCCGGGTCTTTCCAGCTGGCTCCCCCGCCATCTGATCCAACTCACCAGGTGGTGATCAGTTGACAGCTCTGCTCCTCTCTTCACCCGAGTGTCCAAGACATACGGCCGCAGATCAGATGATACGATTACAAAGTCGATCATAGATCTCCAGCCTAAGGTGTTCTGGTACACTTATGAGCCACCGTATGTTCGAACATGGTGTTCGTTATGGCCAAACCGTGGCTAGCACAGAAGTCCAATAACGAGACACCACTCGGGTTCAGATCGGGCAAACCGTTCCTCCCAATCACCGCTTGCCAGGTTTCTCCGTCATTGCCCACGTGAGCGTTGAAGTCCCCCAGGAGAACTATGGAGTCGGTCGGCAACAAGAAGGCCGGATACTCCGAACTCCTGTTTGGTGCATAAGCACAAACCACAGTCAGAGCCTTGCTCCCCGCAACCCGTAGGTGCATGGAGGCGACCCTCTCATTCTCCAGGGAGAACTCCAACACAGCGGCGCTCAGCCGGGGGCTCGTGAGTATCCCCACTCCCGCCCGGCGCCTCTCACCCTGGGCAACTCCAGAAAAGGACAAAGTCCAACCCCTCTCCAGGAGCTTGATTCCAGAGGCAGTGCTGTGTGTGGAGGTGAGTCCAACTATATCTAGCTGGTATCGCTCCACCTCCTGCACCAGCTCTGGCTCTTTCCCCGCTAGCGAGGTGACGTTCCACGTCCCTAGAGCTAGTGTATGCTGCCGGCGGCCCACCACCCGGTCTGCATTGCACCCGCCCCCGATGCTTGTCCCTGTGGGTGGTGGGTCCACAGGGTGGCTGCTCCATAATGTTTCTCGGGCTGAGCCCGACCGGGTCCCATGGGCGAAGGCCCGGCCACCAG